GACAATTCACACACAAACTAATAACATGTGTGTTGTTGAGCAGGTCCCAAATTCTGTCCTTGGTAACAATCACAATGCTAAGAGACACTCCAATCAACATTGAGGCACCAGATAAAGATGTCTTGTTATGGCATAAGCTGTAGCAAACAGCTCACTTTGGATTACAAAGACCTGCCAGTTGTGACATGTTGGCCGCATTTAACTGAACAGGTCTTTCACATTGTTCCCTCTCCCTCTCCGGCTTGTGTCTAAAACTACATTAGAGGAAACAAAGTCAAGAGTACAAAACATCTCCTATTTGAAAAATTAGTTTGAATGACTATAGGGAGGAGAGTTTACTCTGACAATTAATTTTGAAGATGTGAACTACACCACCAGTCTGATATAAGACAGCACAAAATGCATTTACAATCTAAATATCAGATCACAAATATACCCCTGGAATGCTTTAAGTCTTTATTCCTATCATATATCTACATATTCATAGAAAAAAACAAATAACAAAACAAACATTCCTTTCATTATCATAGCAAGGAGAAGTCAATAAATACAAATTTCAAATGTTTCCTGGCTGTATAAATACTGAGAATAACTAATGGAAAAAATTCAAGGCAGAGAGGGAGAGAGAGATAGGTGGGCCAACAAACATTAACAAAAACAAAAGAAAAATAAAATTACACCACTTAACAAGTCATAAGTCATAACATAAAATAGATACAAAAGTATTGACAAAATATAGTCTCTTTTCTTTAGGATATTGAGATTCAGACGTGTCCTATGCTTGCTTAATAAAATGTCAGACCAACCATAAGTCATTCTAATTAATTATATCTTTTTTTCAAATTCACAGTTCATTTATTTTTAAAAATAGTCTAAAGAATTTCAATAATTCCATTTAGTGTGGTGTGAGCACAGCATAGGTTTTCACTAACAGTCTAACTGGTTTAACCACAGAGTTTCACAGTTCTTCCGCATTTTATGCGGTTCAGTGTGGCTAGCAGTCTGACCGATCCTCTTCCACAAGCTTTTGAGTGTCTTTGCCTGTGTCAACTGAGGTTGGGTCAAGTTCCCTGTGTCTTATATGAATTTGCGGTGAAGACCGCTGAATGACACTGGATGGAGCTAAAATTGCTGATGCAGGTTCTGGACTTGACAAGACACTGTCATCAGCACTAAACTTTGACTTTGCAACATCGGCTGGCACTTCATAAATGCCACTGCCGTTTCCTGGGCCAGTGCCTCCCCCACCTTCTCCACCAAGTGCATCATACATTGGATTGCTAAAGTCACGACTCTTCGTACTCATATCACCCAAATTGTATTCCACATCCATAGGCTCCTACAATGAAAATTAAAACAATTATGTAAACGAATGTACAAAAGTGTTAATTAATGATGTAATTAAGTATTTACCCCTCTTTGAGCAGGTCCGTTTGGAGGGAATGCTGAAGCTCCAAACTCAACATTGGTTCCCTGCCTAAATGACACACTCTGTGAGTTGGTGAGTCCACCAAGACCTGTTCCCTTGCCACTGTAAAGATAACAAGAATGTTACTTATTAACACATTGCAATTGGGTATGTAATATTCATTACCAATTTTACAATTATAGAGAACACAAGGTCACCAGAGAAAAATTGGTCTAATCTGTTTTAAGAGACATAGTAAAACAATTTTCACCATGCTTTGAATTTTTCAAAAATTTAGTAACACTTATTGTGATTTTATGTTCTCATAAGTGATCAATCTCAAACTAGTTTTCAGCTTACAATGGTCGTTTTCGATGAACGAAGTACACTGCGCCGGCAGCAAGTAGCAGTAACAGTATGACAACAATTGGTATGACAATAGCTGCGGTGCTTGCTCCTGAGCCTGGAGCTCTTGTTCGCTGGACATGGGTATCACAGTACTGTCCTAAGTAGTCAGATTGACAATCACATTGTAGTTCTCCCTCATCTGTTTCCCTACATTTTCCACCATTTTGGCAGGGACAGATGCGAGGTGCCGGTCGCTCCCGTTCAGATGCTGCAAAGGCAAATTTTGTGTCAATTGTTCAACAGCAAAAGAGAACATGTACCAAATGTTTCAGGACGTACCAGCATCGCAAACTGCTTCGTTGGAACTAGGTTTCCTAACAGCCGAGCCATCCGGACATGCACATCGATATCCATTAGGAACAATGAGGCAGAGATGAGAACAATGACTGTTGTGACAAGGGTCACTGATAGATGTATTGTACCGCAGTTGATGATAAACTGGATTAAAAGTTAAATCATGGTGTAAGTAAAAAACAACAACAAAGAAACCAACAAAATGCAAATTTTGAGAGAAAAATTAACATACTTTTAACATCTGTTGGATTTGCCAGATCTCGAGCAACAGTAACAGGAACTCCTCTACCAAACTTATCCTGTTTAATAAGTTCTCCAGTGTCTCTCGTCACCCAATACAAGGTGCTCTCAAATACATCAAGGGAGATAGGGTGATGAATTTTGTCTGGAAATATTGATTGATTAGAAAATAAAACCACATTATCAAAAAAACGAAAAAGCCAAATAATATTAAAACATACCACTACTCTTTATCATGGTCCTTCTATTTGAGCCATCTTGCCTTATGCTCTCAATTTTGTTAAGTTTGGCATCAGCCCAGAAGAGTGTTTGATCCATGGAGTAGTCAATAGTTAGACCTGAATATTTAAAATATTTTAAAAGAATTAGTTTTGGGCAAAAAATTTAAAATAGAAGAAAATACAAAGTCATGCCTAATTAAAATTTTCTTAAAAATTCACCTGTAGGATGTCGAATATTGTCTACAACTAGAGGACGCCTTCTTGAGCCATCCATCCATGCAATCTCAATCTTAGCAGCTGAACCAGCATCAGCAAAGAACAAGCGACCAGATTGTGGATCAACAGCTAATGATGTTGGTGCTTCTAAAACCCCAGATACAAGGGAACGCCTGTACCTTCCATCAGCCTTTGACACCATTACGCGCCCCTTCTGTTTAGTTCCTGATCTGTCTAACTCTGTCCAATACAAGTTGTTTGCAATCCAATCAACTGCCAGGCCTGTAGTTTTCCAAGTGCCTGTAATAAAAAAATAACACACATGTAAACATTACACTTCATGATTCCTTCTCAAAAATACAAATACAAAAGAAATAGGGACTAGTTAAGGAAGGAGAACATACCTTTGATGTTCAAATCTTGAGCAAATCCAATCTTCGCATTACCATTCTGAGCATTAAGCATGTAAGATCGTTTGATGGTCCGATCATGTGAATCAGCCCAAAAGACCATTTCTAGCTTCGGGTTAAAATCAATTGCTTCAATTCGCTTCTCATCAGGAATGACATCAGCCTCTCTTCTTGACAGAAGACCATAAGCTCGGATTTCGGGACCAGTGGAATATATTATGGTAGTTTCAGCCATATCTTCTGCTAAAGTTTTACAGACTCCTCCATCTGACAGCGCAAAGCCTTCTCTACATGAGCACTGATATGTTCCATTTAAATTAGTGCAAAGTTGTGAGCACCTGTGTGTTCCAGTAGCACACTCATCCACGTCCACACATTTCTGCCTGTTTTCTGGAGATATTACATAGCCATTGAAACAAGTACAAATGTAACCTCCTGCATCTCCTGTCAAGTTGTGGCATTGATGTTCACAGCCACCCCTGGTAGCATCTAGACAGACCTTATTATGATGACAACCCAATTCATCTGAGGAGTCTCCACAGTCATCAGCATAATCACAAACCATACTGAGTGCAATACACTCCTTATTAGCACACTTGAATTCTAAATATGGATCACATGATTTGGATTGGTGCTTACAAATAGTCATATTGTTTTCGTCACTTCCATCACCACAGTTATCTTGTCCATCACAAAGCTGATATTTAGGAATACAACGATGATTTTCACACTGGAATCTTCTTTGAGTGTCACAGTGGAAGTTCGAACATTGCTCTGGGGATTCATCAGAATTATCACCACAGTCATCAGCCCCATCACACAAATCACCCTGTAGAATACACAGGTGGTTTTTGCATTGAAACTTGGACTCAGGGCAGTAACGGCCATTTGGATACCGTGGAGGACAATCCATTTCATCTGACATGTCTCTACAATCTCGGTCACCATCACATCGGAAATATGCGGCAATACAATGACCACTAGCACACTGGAATGTGCCATTTTTACATGTGAAGCCAGAGCAGTTAAGTTCATCACTACCATCACCACAGTCATCATCATGGTCACACCGCCATCTGTTAGGAATACACTTGTTGTTGTTACACCGGAATTCAGATTCAGAACATTCTCTGTAAGAGCCACGGCAAAGAGCTTCACTTTCATCACTATTATCTCCACAATCATTTTCAAAATCACACAGCCAACGTTTCGGGATACAACGGTTGTTATTGGCACACTGGAAATCTCCTGTTTCATGGCACTTGGGACAATTTTGAGGAAATTCATCACTACCATCGCGGCAGTCATCTTTCCCATCACAGAACAGCCATTTTGGAATACACCTGTAATTTGCCTGGCCTGGACATCTCTGCCAGCCATTTGGGCACTGGCGTTGCCTACATTTATAAGCTGGTTCATCCGAATCATCACCACAATCATTGTCAAAATCACACACCCATAATTTCTGTATACATCTTCCATTCTTGCAAGTGAACTCAGTTTCTGGATCACACTCACGGTTGTGACAGATTGCTGGATCTTCATCACTAGCATCTTTGCAATCAGCATCACCATCACACTTCCATGAATTTAGAACACAACGTCCATTCGACCTACACTTAAATTCTAAATCTGGACATGGCTTATCACAGTTCTTCTCATCAGAGCCATCTGCACAGTCATCAACTCCATCGCAAATTGTGGCTGAAGCTGTGCAGTTTCCATTCTGACACTGGTATGCTCCCGCTCTACAGTGACGTGAAGGGCAACTGGACGGTTCATCTGATCCATCTCTACAATCTGGTTCACCATCACATTTCCAGAACCATGGGATACATTTTTCATCCGGTCCTTGACAGTGATGTTGGCCAGAGGTGCAGTTTGCAATACAAGTTTTATTGTCAGAAGCCAGGTAGAATTGATTTGGGCAGGCGCATGTAAATGTCACAGGACTCTGAGTTTCTCCATAGCCATCAGGACTAGGATCAACACCAGGAACTGGTTTCAGAAGGCACAAATGGGAACAACCACCATTGTCAGCACCACATGGATTGGGGTATGGAAGCTGGCGAAGAGGATGGTAAACATGGATGTCATATGGTCGATGGGTGGTGTTTCTGATTACAGCTAAATCTTTTCCAGTAAATTTGTTTGCTTTACTGATAGCCTTTAAATTCCAATCAGTCCAATAAATATGATCATCAAAGAGAGTGATGGCAAAGACATGAGGAACTTTGTCTCCAGACAATATAACATGCCGGTGTCGACCCTCAAGATCAGTCGAAGCAACATAATCGAGATGGGCATCAGCAAAGTAAATGCGATCGGTGAAGTAATCAATAGTGAGGGCATTTGGCCAGGCAATATCATTATTCCAGTTGAGGATACGAGTGAAATTAGAACCATCCATACCCATTTTTCCTATGAAAGCTTGAAGATGCCAACTTGTAAAGAACAGATAGCCAATTCCAGGATGAACAACAACAGCTCTTGGGTCAGGAATTCCCGGCTTAAGGGTCTTGCGGCGAGTTCCATCCAATTCTGAGACTTCCAAATGCTTGCTATGTCTGTCCAGCCAATATAATTTACGTCCAACCCAGTCCACAGCAATTCCTTCAAGGCCATGACTGTCGTGTCTGATGACTGGCTCCTTTACTCCATCACCTCCAATAGTTGACCTGAAGATTGTCTTTGCAGATACATCACAGAAGTACAATTTGTTGTCCTTATAATCATAATCCAAAGCAACAACATTCATGAGATCCTGATGCATCAAGCTGTATTGAGAAGCATCCAAGGACATATTTCGAACATAATACTTGTTAGTAAAAACAATCCATGGCTTTGTGCGGTCTCTGCTCTTGCAGGTGTGTTCATCTGGTTCTCTGTCATAGTAGGCTTCATCACATTTACAGTAATAAGATCCAGGAGTATTTGAGCATAGTTGAGAGCATACGCCAGGTGTTTCGACACACTCATCAATGTCTGCACATGCTTTTCCATCACTTAGCAATTTGTAACCTTGATTGCATTCACAGAAGTACCCAGTTAGAGTGTCAACACATTTGTGACCACACTGGTGGATTTCAACTTTGGAACATTCATCGACATTGCAATGGAGAGGTTCATCTGAGTCATCAGAACAATCTGACACTTTGTTACAAACCAACTGGTAATCAATACATTCTCCATTGTTGCATTGGAATTGGCCATTAGCACAAGTTTTGTTCTTCTTTTCACACCCAACTTCATCAGAGTGGTCTCCACAGTCATCTTCTCCATCACATTTATATACATTACCAATGCACTTGAAATTTTGGCAAGCAAATTCTTGTGGACTACATGTTTTGTACTGTGAGTTGCATTCTTTCCCTTCATCCGTGCCATCTCCACAATCGTTATCATGATCACACAACCAGCCCTTATTGATACAACGGCCATTCCCACATGTAAATTGCTCTTCACTGCAGGGTTGTGGAGTTGGGCAATTGTGCAGGGTTGTATTTTCATCAGCACCATCAACACAATCAGGGTCTCCATCACACAGCCATTTCCGAGGAATGCACTGGGCACGATTCCAATGCTTGTTTTCCATACAAGTGAATTCTGTTTCTTCATCACATTTTCTATCATTGCACTGGTGTCTGCTATCTTCATCAGAATTGTCCAAACAATCATTATCACCATCACAAATATATATCCTTGGAATACAGTTTCCATTATCACAAGTGAAAAGGTCACCAAAGCAAGTCCTTCCCTCTGATTTGCAGTATTCTGGGGGCTCATCAGATCCGTCACCACAGTCATCATCACCGTCGCAGTACCATGTTGCAGGAATACAGCGATGGTTGGGGCAGCGGAAGCTATTTTGCGGGCATGTCCTTGGTGCACAGTGCATTGGGTCTTCATCACTGTTGTCTCCACAGTCATTGTCACCGTCGCATAACCAGTAAGGCTCCACACAAATGTTTGTCTTCTCACACTTCAAGTGGTTAACTGGACAGGTTGTGTTTCTTGGACATCTTTCATGTGTTTCGTCAGTGGTTCCATTATCTTTGCAATCATTGACACCATTACATACTTGGGACATTGGGATGCAACGATGATTGGCACAAGTGAACTCTCCATTGGCACAAGGGGGATAATTACAGTCCAATTCATCCGAACCATCACGGCAGTCATTTTCATGGTCACACTTCCAGGACCGGAAAATACATCTACCATTATTACAGCGGAATTCATTTGGACTACATGAATGATATGTACAATAATTAAGATCTTCATCGCTGTTGTCTCCACAATCATCATCACCATCACATGCCCACATGCGAGATATGCACTTTCCATTACGACAGTAGAATTTGCTACTGTCACAAGTCAAGTTCTTCCTCACACACATTCTGTTTTCATTTACAAGCTTAGAGTTTTCATCACATTTGCACTCCACAGTTCCATTAGGTCCAGGGTGACAAGATTGATAGCAGCCACCATTGTTGATATGACACGGATTAACAGTACACTTTTGACTATCTGGTGAGAAAACATGAATGTCCCTTGGTGAGTCATCAAGACGCTTGACCATCTCAATCATATTGGCTCCAGTATATTTTTCTGCCCTGTACACTCCTCTGAGTTGCAGGTCAGTCCAATAGATATATGGTCCATGCACTGTAATAGCAAAGGGATAGATGGTAGCAGATATCAAAACTTCTCTGTTTTCGCCAGTCAATGTTGATCTCTCAATTTTTTCTCTCACGGCATCAGTCCAATACAGCATTCTATCATCATAATCAATAGCAAGTCCACTGGGCTGTGATAAGTCTTTATCAATGATTGCCTTTTTCAGAGAGCCAGCCATGGTAGTACGGAATATTTTTCCTGAGAGACCAAATCGGCCCCAATCTGTAAAGTACAGGGACCCATTGCACGGGTCTACCACAATAGCCCGTGGTCTTTCTACTCTTGCTATCATAACCAAATCGGACCCATCAGTGTTCATGGCATAAATGCTGTTGTTAGAAGAATCTGTCCAATATACTTTCTTCTGTGTCCAATCATAGGCAATTCCTTCAGGATTAATACCTCTACTGATAATAGTTTTAATTTCTGACGGAGTTGGAGGTAGCACAGCGGCGGACATCTCAGCAATCTTAGCCCATGGCCTAATTTGGGTGAAGAGGAGCTTTTTATCTGCATAATCAAAGTCAATGCCAACTACATTGGTAAGATTTCCCTGGAACAAAGAAACAGGACATAGAAAACAGAATTGACCAGATGAAAAAACTAGGTCATTATTTATACTTGTATAAGTTTATAGATACAACTGGTAGATACTTACCACTGGTCTGAATGGTACACTAGTTGTTTTGGGATCTAAATATATTGATCTAATGTCTGTTCTTGTAGAGAAGACTAAATATTCTGAAGTTACATCACATGTGTTGCCATTTTGGGCTGGTGAAAGTGTACCAGTTGCACAATCACATCGGTAGTGGAACTAAAGTATTGAAAGTAAATTAGTATCTTAAATATCAACTTTGTCATAAACATAGTGTAAAATCTGGAGTTAAACAGAGGAAAATTACCTTATTGGAAGATACCTCTTGAGGGTAAGAGAAACATAATTGGTCACATCCACCATTGCCTAGCCGTTGGCACGGATTGCTTTCATCTGGAGGCTGATTGGTAAGATCAAAAATTGCTATGTCTCTAAGTTTAGGGAGGTTTGTTCTAACTTGAGTGGCCAAAGATGTGTTTCCAGGAAGTTTAGATGCACGGAATACCGTATTCAAATTTCTATCAACCCAGTAGACATCTCCCATGTGAACTGCTACACCCATAGCATTTGGCAAATTGCGTCTTATCACCTAGAACAGAAGAATAGATATCACAGAATAACAAAACAAGCACAATTATTTATTTTACATTTTGTGAGAAATGATGAGAAAAAGTATACCTGTCTATTGCCACCACTGAAAGAAACCTTTTGAATCATGTCAAGTTTAGAATCCACCCAATAGACATCATGTGTGAGCATATCAACAGTCAAATCTCGCGGGTTGCTGATGCCTGACGTTACAATAGGCTGCCAGTTTGAACCATCCAAATAGGCTTTACCAATGCGAGGGTACTGGCCGTAATCAATCCAGTACAACAACCTATTATGATGGAGAAAAGTAAAAAAGTTCACATATCATTTCTTTAAAAAGGAAGGCTAAACCAGAATTTCTTTTAAATTTTGGCCTTACCTCTTAATAGGATTTACAGCAAGTTCTCGTGGTGCATCAGTAGTTGTTCGTACCAATACTTTGCGATGGGAACCATCCAACCAACATATTTCCAAGTAGTTCTCATGAGGGAAAACATTAGTAAAGTAGAGATTTCCAGCAATCCAATCAATTGTAAGTCCCCTTATTCCATTGGATCCAATACCATCTTTAACAACAGGTTCTAGCTCTGTACCATTTGGTCTCACCCGGAAAATTCCATTCCAAACACCACGATTGAACTCCACCCAGTAAATCCAGTTACTTTTGAAAAGTACGTCAACATGCAAAATGTGGTGATCTAAAACACATTTAAAAAATAAAAAATGAGATATTTTAAGGAAACATAAGATAGTTTTTGCAATGAAAATAGTAAATCAAAAGGAAGCCTACTTGGACCACTGATGGGAACCATTGCTTCAGATGAGTCCTTAAGACTGTATCCACGAGTTATATCTAATTGAGATACAACTGCAAATGTTTTGTAAGGCGCACAGTTCACCTGGTTTTCTTTGCGGAAGCCAACCGAGCAAGCACAGACTCTGTTGTTATTGTCTGAGGGGATGCAAAGTTGTTCACACCCTCCATTATTACTCATACACGGGTGTGTCACAGCTGTAAAAATTAAAAATATGAGAGTTGACCTAAATTTTTAATGTAAGATTTAAGATGCATCTAGGATGAAGTTGTAACACTCACATGGTTGCTGCTTTTGATAAATAGTAAAGGTTTTCAAATCTGGCTCATTTTCAAGAAGAGTTTTGGGATTGTCACCACTAGGAAGATCTACTCTGCCAATTCGCTCATATTTCGGGTCAAGATAATACAATCTATTTTCATACACCCCTAGTGCCTTTGGCTGAGCAATGTTATTTGCAGTCTCAAGAAGGGTGCGAAGGTTATTACCATTCACATCCATCACCTTCACATAGCTTGGATATTGAGAACTGAAGTAAAGCATCTTTTCCTTTAAATCAATAGTAATAGCCTCAGGACGTTGGATATCATCTAGCAATATTACTGGCTTTGACCCATCCATGTTCACTTTGGCAACCTTGGGAGGAACACCAAATCCACCATCGTCCACCCAGTACAGTTTACTGCAAAGAAAAAGAGATACTGTGTTCAATGTCTGAAAACTCTTTAATTAAATAATGGAATTTAAATTTATCACATACCCTTCACTTGGGTCTAAACACATTGACTTTGGTTTGGCAACAGATGTCTTGTTTCCATCATTAGCTAAAATAACAGTCCTGTGCTTGACCTTCCCATCAACCTTCACAGCTTCAAAGTTTGATGCTAGTCGATTTCCAATAAAAAGATTTCTTCCCAGCCAATCAAAGGCAATTGTATATGGGGCACCTACAATTCCAATGGCACTGCCTAAAAATTCTGTTTTGTTGCCTCCACCATATGGTGTAGTCCAGATAGTGCACTGCCAAAAAAATAAAACTGTCAGTAAAAGTGTAAATTCATATAAGCAAGTGCAAAGAATTTCACTTACATTTTCCCTTTCATCAACATCATCATCATCTTTACGGTCATCACTCTTTCCTTCAACCCAAAACATAGTCTGAGTTTTCCGGTCATAGTCAATCAGCACGCCTCCATCAATACCAACAATTGGAGTAAGAGATCCACTTGTTTTGTCCCCTGGGATCATACTTAGATCTATGATTTGGGAACCTCTCATAACCAACAAGAATGGATTTTCCTCTGAAACACAAAATAAATTTTTTAAAGAAGTTTTTTTTAAATGATTTTTGATTTTACAAAAGCTAACTTCTTTGAAAATCAGGCATTGTATTACTCACCTTCAATACACTGTCCAGTCTTCGTAGCCCTAAAGCCAGGTCTACATTTGCATGTGTAACCCGTTTGAGAGGATGGGGAAAGAAGACACAATTGAGCACAATTTGCTTTCTTGCAAGGATTTTCCGTGATTGGTTGAAGAGATGGATGGAATACATGAATACTCAGAGGTTGTGATATCAAATGCGACACTACAGTCTGATTCTTTCCCTTGAATTTGTGGGCAGATAGAACCTAAAACAATTTCCATACATTGCCATTACACACAACACAAACATATTAAGTCAAGAAAAAAAAAAGTTATGCTATCATAAGAAGCTACTCAAGAACATGATACTTACTCTGTTCAGTTGTCGATCAGTCCAGTAGATTGTATCCTCAAATACAGTAAGTGAATGGGGATGCAATAGATAATGACTGCCAGCGACCACTTGTTGCCTGCCAGTTCCATTGTAGAAACAGAAATCAATAAAGTCTAATTTGGAATCAGCAAAGTAAACTCTCTTGTTTGCAACATCAAGAGTTAAGCCATTTGGCCAATAAATTTTGGTGCTGATAATAGTGCTGCGATTGGTACCATCCATACCAACTCTCTCTATTCTAGGATTTTCACCCCAGTCAGTCCAGAAGAGCCAACGAGCACTATACAAAACAAAAACAAAAAAAGATTTATTAGAAAAATTTTATAAGTAAAGTGTTAATTACAATTTTCAAATATTTTAAACAAGTTTTCAGATGGAAAAAATAATACATACTCATCACTAGGGTCAAGTGCCATTCCTCTTGGTTGTGTTATATTCTCCTTAAGTAGAACCATGCGGTCAGAGCCATTTTCTCGAGCTACCTCAATGGTTCCAAGTCTAGAATCTAACCAGTAGAGATTTCCAGCCACCCAATCGTAAGCTAAACCTTCAACTAGATCAAGTCCTGTAGATATTACATCTACTACATCAATATTGCTAGCTCTGTCCAGCCTAGAAATTTTCTTCAGCTTCATGTCTGACCAAAATATTGTGCTTGTGTGCATATTTGATGCAGTTGCCACAACATTTTCAACAATGATTGGGACTCTTTCCAAACCCTGATCTCTGAGGTCTGCCACTAAAATTGAGTGACGATTTGATATGACAAGGAAAGCAGCACTGCTATCTGTAATAAGAAAATTCACAGAGTTGAAAAATAAAATCAAACATGATATACAGGAAAAGTAAATCAAGATCATTGGTAAATTTTGCTAATTGAACTCACTGATGGCTTTGCATGTCCTGTTATCAAATTCCAGAACATATCCCTCAACACAGCTGCATACAAATCCTTTCTTTATGTTGGTGCAGGTTTGTGAGCAAATGCCAGGAGGTTCACATTCATTAAGATCTGTACATGTTACTGTATCATTTGATAAAACCTCTCCAGACGGACATGTACAAAGAGCCCCCTAAAATGTGAATAAACCAAAATGTACAAGAGGTTTTAAAACAATTTAAAATGCTAATAGTCAAAAACCATAACATGAAAAGAAACCTACAGTAGGAGTTTGCTGACAGCCATTTGAACAAAGTCCATGTTGATGCTGACATTCTGCAAGATCACAACCCTCGCCTTCATCAGCACCATTGGGGCAGTCTGGTTTGCTGTCACAAAGCTGTGAAATATTAATGCAGCGCTCAGCGACTCCTGGACACTGCCATTGGCCTGAGTCACATCTGTAAAAGAAACGTTTTAAATACCAACATAAATTTTTAAAAATCTATATAATGATGGTTAATAGATGGCTCAAAGGGAGTAACTTCTAAAATGTTCAAAAAAAGGTGAGAAGTTACAAGCTCTCTGATGACCCTCAGGTGTTATTATTCATACCTGAATGGGGGAGGTCCACAAGCATGCCTAGGATCCTCATCCGAATTATCTCCACAGTCATTGTTTCCATCACAAATGTAGGCCTTGAAGACACATTTCGAATTGTTGCATTTGAAGAAGCCATTCTGACATGCAACTTCACCACAGGTAGAGGGTTCATCACTCTCATCATCACAGTCTGGTTGGCCATCACAATGCCACGATCGGGGTATACAGATTGCAGATTGTGTACACTGGAATTGCTTTTCTGAATCACACTGATCAGGAGCCAGAGATGCTGTGCCAGGAAAAAACAGAATTACATGACAGCCATATTTTGTCAATCACTTGTTGTTTGAAAATTCATGATTGGTTATCATTGGACTTACGACATCCTAGTTCATCACTTCCATCATTGCAGTCAGGAATACCATCACATTTGTATGATTCTTGAATACACTGTTTCAAATCAGCACATTTAAATTGAGTGGCGGAACAAGTGATTGGAGGACAACCTTCTTCATCTTGATTATCAAAACAATCATTGTCACCATCACAGACCCATGATTGTGGAATGCAATGGCCAGATCTTGGACAAGTAAACTGAAAATATAAATGGTTGATTTAAGGATACTTATCCATGCGTGTATGAAGGTGCAGTACATTTATATAAGTAAGTAGAGAAAATAATGATAATTACTTGGAAATAGGCGCAAGTCTTCTCAGCACAGAATTCTCCTTCGTCACTACCATCACCGCAATCATTTTCTGAATCACACTTCCAAGTGGCTGGGATACATCTACCATTTTCACACAAAAACTGTGACACAGAGCAAGTTACATTTACACAGCCAGTTTCGTCAGAATAGTCACCACAGTCATTTTCTGCATCACAATAAAAGTTGTGAGGAATGCATCGGCCAGAAGCACATTGAAATTCAGTTGATCCACATGTAGGTTCTAGAAAAAAGAGTTTGTTATTTTGAGTGTTATGAAACAGATGTAAAAAATAAAATTTTAATTTGAGAATTTAGTCTGGTTATGATTTTCAGAAGAAAAGAAAATCTTCACTTACTAGTGCAGTTTTGCTCTTCATCAGAATTATCTAAACAGTCGTCGTCTCCATCACAAACCCAGGCTTTAGGTATACACCTTTGGTTGTTGCAAGTGAAGTCCCAAGCATTGGGACATGCTGCAACTGGAGGTTCAGCATTTGGGTCTGGTTGGCAAGTTTTATCATCTGCAGCAAGACGTTCCCCATATGGACAACCACATTTCGCCTGTTAAAACAGTAATTGGAGATATTGCAACTTAAATCATGTTAAAGCTAAGATAGAAAACAATTTACAAGATCAACTTACAACAAGTCCCTCATTTGGATCACTTAGATGGACAGCAAAACACAATTTCTGGCATCCACCATTGTTGACGTGACATGGCTGTTTCTTGTCCACTGTCTGAACAGTATCACTGTATACTTTGACTCCATATAGCCTATTTGTTTGTGGTTCCCTAAAAAGTATTTCCTCTTTTTCACCAGTTAACTTGTGCATTTTTATTATGGCATCCAGTCTCCAGTCAGTGATGTACATCCAATCTGAAAAAACAGAAAAAGAGACAAATCCAAATTATAAATTTGTGTGCTGCTTAAAGTCTGTTGGTACTGATATCAATAACAAAAACTATTTTATACCTTGATGAACAACTATTGAAAATGGATGACGTATCAGTCTTGAATTAACAGTTTTGACATCAGACCCATCTAAATTTGAATGTTGGACATGGTCTAAAAGTGCATCACACCAATACAGTCGGTCTTTGATAAAGTCCACAGAGAGACCATTCGGCCAACCAAGTGTGACATTGCGGAATATAAGCAAATCTGTTCCATCAGAATTTGCACGACTAATATTTGCAGGCCGGTCCCATTCAGAAAAGAAAATGTACCTAGAATAAAACAATAGTTTGGTGGTAAAATAAGCATCTGAGTGGAGAGCAATGTGAGCAAGCTAAAATCCAAAAATAACATGAAGCACATACCCTTTATTAGGATGCACAACAATGGCTCTTGGGCGTTTAAGATTTTTCAGAAGAGTGCGGCGATATGTCACATTCCTTGTGCTCAAAACATTAAGAGTGCCCTTTCTACTATCAATATAGTATAGGTTTTTTGATGCCCAGTCAACAGCAAGGCCTTCAACACCTTCATTCTGGGAGGCCAAGACAATTTCCCGTCCTGAAATAACCATAACAAACATGAGACCCGTGTCTTCTGAAAAATGAAAGCTGTCAGTCAAAAACAAACCTGAAAAGTTTACATACCTGTCCCATTTTTGTGTATCCTATAAATAACATCTTGTAAGACATCAGAGTAATAAATAAATTCTTCTTTGGCATCAAAATCGAGGCCAACGAAACGAGCCCGTCTTGAGACTACAGGTAATATAGCATCACCAAAGCCCTCAATCACGGGGTCTAAAACTCGTCCCTTGATGAACCTCTGCTGGGATGACATCAGGAACTCTCTAACGACTGAAACGCATGACATTAACCATAAGATTTGGAATTCATAAAAATTTCCAACAGATTGAATGAGAAAATTTATTTTATAAATAGATAATGGATGAAAGTACTAACGATAGCAGTTACGTTGATCACTTGCAAGCATCCAACCAATGTTGCAAGCACATCTGAAGCCTAGTTGGTTCTCATTTTCAGTTGAGGCTGTGACAATGCACATATGCTGGCAACCACCATTATTGTTTCCACATGGATTGGTAACTAGAAAAAAACATCAACAAAATTGATGAGAATATTGTTTGCACATTATTTGATTTTATCAATTGTTAATAGATAATAATTGCAACTGTAAACTTACCGCGCTTCTGAACTAAACTATGTACAGCTTTCACACTCCTTGGTTCTCGCGCTGACTTATCTTTATAAACCATACTCATTGATTCGGCCCCTAAGAACTTATCTACACTCATTATACCCTGTTTGGTTCCATCTGACCAGAATACTCGATTTTCAAAGACTGTGAGACGAGAGGGAGATGGGACTGATTGACCTGAAATTCAAAATGACTTATGTTCTAGAGAGGCGTTACAAAAAATATTCATAGGTTGTAGTAATAAATTTGATGATGTACCTCTCACAACCATATGTCTCCTGTTTCCATCATAATCAACAGTTTCAATGTAGTCCAGAAGAGAGTCACACCAAAAAACCCTTTTGGCTATAATGTCCACAGCAATTCCAGATGCCTTGTAAGCAGCCTCTGAAACAATTGACTTAGTATTTGTGCCATCCATATTGGCACGGAGGACATGGCTACTGTCTGCAACAAACATGACCCTGCAAACATAACAAAGAAAAAACAGCAAATGAGAAATATGGTTCTAGCATGTGACACCCAGAACTAGCAAATAAGAGAATCAAAAAAATCTTGGTACTACCAATTTAGATTTGAGGAAATTCATTGGACGGTGGTGATATCGGTTCGTACCGGTCAAACCAACACTTACCCGACAGTGGGGTCCAGGGCGAGGTCCGCCGGGGCGGTGAGATTGCTGCCCAGAACGATGGCATGCCGTCGGTTGTCGAACTCGAACACGTCGATCTTGAGGCCGATGGCGTCGGCCACGTAAAGCTTGTCGCCGATCCAGTCGACGGCGATGGCGACGGGCGACCAGGTGCCGGGCAGCATGATGTCGGACGCGGTGGCGTCGGCGGCGAGCGGCGTCGGCGCGTTGGGCTCGCCGAGCAGGGACTGCACGTGCACCTTGCGGGTCTTGGTGTCGGACCAGAACAGCAGGTCCTTGGCGTAGTGGAAGTCGAGGCCCGCGGCGCCCGTCGCGTTGGCCACAAGCTTCTTGTTGGACCCCGTCGAGTCCATACGCCACACGGACCGGTCGTAGGCGAACAGCAGCTGCAGCGAGCCGTTCGAGTTGCGCGCCGTGCAGTGGGACTTCCCCGTCAGCCAGTAGCCGTTGTCGCACGCGCACGAGTACGAGCCGTCCGTGTTGGTGCACAGCTGGTCGCAGAAGCCCCACTCCTGGCACTCGTCTCGGTCTGGAAGAAAAGTTCAGTTTTAACGATAAACATGCAATCATCGAGCTCGATCGGTGTCTGAGCTTCATTCGCTAGTTTTCAAACAACAGTCAGTAAACATGGTGTAACGGTACACTTACCTATGCACGACAGGGAGTCGTTGGCAACCTTCCTGCCCTCGGGGCAGTAGCAGGACCCTCCCGTCAGCGAAGCTTGGCACTTGTACTCGCATCGGAGCGAAGGGCAGCTGCTCGTCGCTGGAAACAGACAAACAGGCGTTAGACCACCGCCGCGCCACGACACAGAATGTCATGCCACCCGCCGTCCCCAATATAGCTAAATAGATAGATAACTAATTAATTAGCTATGTTGCAGAAAAAAGCCCCGTACCTAAACATTTCGCTCCAGGATTAAATAGTTCAGTACACAACTAAATGTTTAGTTACACAGCTAATTTTAAGCTACAAAGCTAAACAACCAGCAATCCCGTATTGAGCTATTGGTTTAGCTATACAGGCAATGTTTTCATTTTCGTGCGCATCGTCGACACTCACAGCAGGCGGCCTCCTCGTCGGCACCGTCGGCGCAGTCCCTCTTGCCGTCGCAGAGCTGCGTGCGCTGGATGCACTTGGGCGAGTGGTCGGAGCCGCCCTTGGGGCAGAGGAACTTGTTCTCCGGGCACGCCGTGGCCGTGCAGTTGAGCTCGTCCGAACCGTCCGTGCAGTCCCGGTAGCCGTCGCAGTGGAACGACATCGGGATGCAGAGCGCGTTGGCGCACCGGAACTGACCCACGTGGCAGGCGGGGAAGTCTGAAAACGGAAACGGAGGCGGGGGCAAGGTGAAAATTAGCAAAGAACAAGGGACTCTTCCCTTATAGAAAAAAAAAAACAGATAAAATTGAGAAAAATCGGAAAAATCGGTGTGCGCTTGTATTTGAATAAGTAAAGGACCCATCGGCAGAGAGTTGCTGACACCAAAACTGAAAAGAAAACTTGCTCGAGCAATACTGCAATACTCACTGCAGTTCTCCTCGTCGCTGCCGTCCTGACAGTCCGTCCGGTGGTTACACTTGAGGCCCAGGTCCACGCACTTGGAGCCGTCCGCGCACCGGAACTGGTCCAGCTGGCAGGCGACGCCGGTGCCGGGGCAGCCCTCCTCGTCGCGACGGTTGCGGCAGTCCAGGTAGCCGTCGCACCGCTTGTCCTTGGGCAGGCACAGCCCCGCATTGTCCGCGCCGGCGCCGCATCGGAAGTCGTCCGCCTGACACTTCCGGTACGCTGCAAAAAGGAAAAGGTGGGGCGTAAGCGGTCGTGTTGCTTGCAGAAGTCATGAGTGACCGTACTGGACAGCGCTGCACAACATTTGTCACGTCACGCACTTCAAAGTGTGTGACTCAAAGTCATTTATTTGCAGAGACGGTAGGAGGGCAGAGAGAGAAATGGAGGAAAGTGAGGGTGAAGGCGGGTGGAGGCGCAGAGTCGTCGGTGCACTGATAGAGGGGGCGGCCCTAATTAACCGCGCCATTCCTCGCCGCCATTTGGGCGTGATCGCTCCCACTCAGTCACCGGGGCCGGTCCCAGCGGGGAGGCTGGGGAGCGAGAGAGAGAAAGAGAGAGAGGGCCGCGATCAGACCTTAAGGTAGGTGAGTGGGAAATAATGCTCCATAAATAAATATAATGATTTACTAAGGTTAATCGTTTACCAAAGTTAAAAAATACCGAAAGAAAATGCTGGTTTTGAAAAAATTAAAAATGTGGAAGTTGAAGATTTTTCTGCTCGACCTCCAGAGAGGCCAGTGAGCGCGGCAGGACTCTAGGCCCCACCACTACGAGCGGATTGGTTGGGCTAGGTCACGCGCGGCCGGGCGCGCCATCAGGACTGTGTGAGCGGCGGGGATGCTCCACGGGGGCTCAGCGCGGCTTAATACGGCCATTACGGCGGGGGTGAAAACCTGCTGCTGCTGCCTGCTGGCGCCGGCCTTGGTGCTGGAGGGGGGCTGTTTGGAGCCACCCCCCTAGCACTTCCAGGACTGGCTGCTAGTAGGCCGCCCCCCGGAGTGACGCCTATCTCGCAAAAGGTGATTAGGTCCATTACAGACACATCTCGTCCGCCGTAATGAGAAAGAGGGCTGTAGAAACGGCGGGCCGGGATCAAGAGGACATCAAGGCGAGATAAGACGCGGAAGAAAAATCATCGCGAGAACGAGCCCTCGGACATGAGGCACGTTTTTGTTGGATTTAGTGCAACCCGCACAAAAGTTTTTTTAAAAATTGTTTTGAATTGGAGAAAGAGTTATGTTGAATACTCACTGCACTCAGCCTCGTCAGTGCCGTCCACGCAGTCCACCTGCATGTCGCAGCGCTGGTGCGGAGGGATGCAGTAGGTCTTGTTGAACACGTACTGGCTGCAGGACAGGTAGCCGGGCTCGCACTCGGGCGGCGCTGCGAACAAAAACGAGCAATTCCATTATTATTTATAAACAAAGAGGTGTAAAATTATTAGTACCAGTGTTTGTGTCGGCTACTGCGTTAGGTGCAAGAGGTAGGGGTGGGTAACAGACCAGGATGCGCTCATCGCTAGAAAGTACAATCAAACTTCTTCGGCACGTACCTAACTCACACCCCATCAGATGCAAATCATTCAAAAATCATCACCCCTTCCGCTCTCTCCTCCCTCTTCTTGTCGGAGCAGCAGCAGCAGCAGCTGGTCACATCCCCCGAGACACGCAACAGCGGGAGCAGCAGATGAGAAATGGGGGGTGGAAAGGGGGGTAGGGGGGCTAGGGTGAGGGAAGGGGGTGTTCATCTTGTTAATATCCGGCGCCCCCTCCGCCTCCTCCCTCCCGCTGGGTTGCAGAGACGCCCCTCCGCGAGAACACCGCATCCACCAGCACCAGGAAGTTGGGAGCGCCGAGGAGATAGTGCTCAAACAAGCTCACGGAAGCCGCACGGCCTCCTCGGGGATAAGCGTGTGCCGACAAAGCAAACGCGCCCGGGGAAAGGCGCGACAATTAAACGCGAGAGAGGGGCATGTCAAACTGTTGCAAAGTTCTAAAAAGGTGGGTAAATCTACATTTAGCATTTGTTCATTTCTATGGCTTTAAAGTTTAACATCTTCTGCACTAAAGTAAAATGTTGTGGAAAAGATTTAATTTACTAATGATACTATAACACTATGACAATTAACTAAAACAGGGCTGTTGCAGTTTGAATAGCATTATCAGATACCAAATAATTTTATATTTAAATTTTTTAAATCATTTTAAAAAACTGCACCAATTTTTATACACATTCATATTTTTTTTTATGGTGCTTAAAATGTGTGTTCTGATGCTGATGGTAACTGGCGAATGACAAGGTAGCAATGCACTTAAAAACACTGGTAAAACAATTTGCCGACTGGCAGAAGAGAGGAGATATGTAACTTACGACAGGTCTGGTATTCGTCCTCCGCCTTCTCGCAGTCCTTTTGGTAGTTGCACACCGCCAGCTGAGGGATGCACTTGCCCTCCGCGCACCGGAACATGTTTGGGCCGCATTGATCTGCAACAGGGGAGAGCACAACGGTATTAGGAATTGGCCAGGCTAAAGCAGTGTTGTGTATAAGCCGGGCTGACGTGGGCGGCCAACCCCAGCGCCCGCAGCGAGCCATGCAGTGTTGGCTGGGGTCGGGTGCGCGCGGGCGGAGCTAGGCAGTCCCGTTGCGCTCACCTGCCCGCCGGGACGGCCTAACCCAGCGCCCGCAGCGAGCTTATGCAGCTATGCAGGCTGGGGCGGGTGCGCGCGGGCCGAGCGCCTGGCGGGTAGGCAGTCCCGTTGCGCTCACCTGCCCGCCGGGACGGCCTACCCCAGCTCCCGCAGCGAGCTGTGCAATGTGGGCTGGGCGCAGGCGGGGCGCCTAGCAGGGCATCCAAAAGGGCAGGCAGTTGCGGGCTTCTTTTTTTGGCGCCTATGCTTTAACATGGGAGGAGGAGGAAGTAGCCCGCAACAGCCTGCCCTTTTGGATGCACTGGCGCCTAGCGTGTAGGCAGTCCCGTTGCGCGCGCCTGCCCACCGGGACGGCCTACCCTAGCGCCCGCAGCGATCTATGCAGCCTTGCGGACGGGTGCGCGCGGGCGGAGCACCCGGCGGGTAGGCAGTCCCGTTGCTCGCGCCTGCACGCCGGGACGGCCTACCCGGGCGCCCCCGGCCCGCACTGGCCCACTGGCCCTGCAGAGCGCTGCTGGCAATGGAACGGCACTCTCAGCCCGCCACAGAGACAAACACACCCCAAACAAAGCGCGGCGCGCGCGCTTCGATTTTGACACTCTCGTGGAGATAAGACCCCAGGCTGCTCCACACAGGCGCCCCTCCCCCCAGCAGCTAGTTTCACTCAACATTATTATGCGCCCGACAATGACACGAAGTAATCAATGGGTGCCAGAGCCGCCGCCGCAGGGCCACGGACCAGCGAGCAGCCGAATGAATGCAGAATGCAGGGAGCGGGGCAAATGACGCAACAATAGCGTCGGATTCAGAGGATTCAGAGAAAAGGAGGGGGGAAGGGAAGGGGGGGGGGGCAGATATCCGAGAAAGAAAAACGTCATTCGCGCAGACAAACAAACCAGAAACGGTCCCTCCATTTGACGAGGCGGGTGTGGCGCTGGGGCTGAAAGCTACGGACGGACGGGGTCCATGGACTGGATAAACAAAGGCCGCGGGGAGCGAGGGCCGGGGGCGGCCGGGGGCGGCCGGGGGCGCTCCGCAGGAGAATAAACCCCGGCCGCTGTGGCGGATAAGTTGCTGTGGCCACAACAGGGGCCGTCCGCGGGGCAGCTCAGCCTCGGCATCATGATCATCCCTCACCCCATCCTCGTCCCACATCCCCACATCCGCTACCCGCTTTGCAACTATAATAAGGGTTGTTGCGTACCCGGTGTACTGGGAAATAAGCGAAAGGAAGGTAGAGAACTTATGGCTTCTTGACGGGGCGATTCCAAAGGGTTTCAAAAACGGCTGGTACTAGAGGTGTTGTTAAGGGTTATTTCAGACCAGATAAAACTTATTTCGTACGCGACCTTTTTGCGCCATCACACTTTAATTTGCAGGGCAATAAAATGATGGGAAGGACGAGTGGCGTTTCTCTATAGGCAACAAACACACTCAAATAGACGCAATGTGGGACGACACACAAAAGGCGAAAGGGACAGGTGTGGCGCCTCTTGAAAGTCTGTCTGTGTGTCCGACGGTCCGTCTGTCAGTCTGCGACTGATAATGAGGGGTAAGCTATCAAGGTGGGGATGCCGCCCGCACCCGCCCGCCACACTCCATCGGCAAAATAATGAGAAGGGAAGGGAGGGAAGAAAAAGAAACGCAGATCCGATTCCCATTACGAGTGCGACATGATATTCCGAGGGGGAGTGAGGGGCAGGGGGGTTCCCTATTAACAAATTGCTTGCTCGCCAATCCCGGCCTCCTCCTCCCTGCTCGTCTGTGCCGCCGCCCTACTACCCCGCCCCGGCACGGCACCGGGGAGCCACCGTGCCAGCTTTAATTTGAAGCGAAGAGGACGAGGAAGAAGAAGAGTGGAAGAAACACGCCCCGGGAACCAGGAAAACAGGCACGCATAATATACGATGCGACGCGAGAATTTGTCCACGATCTAGCGTGGTACGTACAGGAGGGTGATTCAGAGAAGACGCTAGTGCGGCCGGGTTTGGGTTTACCTACCTGAGGGGCCATGGCGCCTTATTACAGGCAGGGCAAGTAGGCAAACCCGCGTTTTCTCTGAATCACCCAGAGGTGGCGAAAATATTGCGTCAGGTAAACTACATCGAAAAAAATATAACAATAGTTATTAGACTGCAAAAACGCGATTCTTGAGGTAATGATATTTTGCAATATAAGTGCGCTGCATTGTTCGTCCTATAACGTGGCGTGGCGTGGTTGTTTTGCGTCATGGCAAGGGAAGGGGAGGGGGGGGGGGATGACGAGTAATCAGGGAGGCTCTGGCTGCTCATCAAAACGACGAATACGAACCGATCGCCCCGATTCGTGATCCATCGCTATTGATGCACTCGGCAAAGCGGGGAGCGCCGCGCCCGCATAGTGGCAGCGCAACGGATATAATCCCGATGACTCGCCTGCCGAGGAAAACATAACGAGGGAGGGGGGAGATGAGGATAAAAGACTCAGCAGGCAGCATTCATTCCATCCCATTTTCCTGTGGTCCCCATTCGCACGCAACGGGACAGCTTTCCATACTGCTGACGAAGGGCGGCGGCGGCGGAGGGAGGTCTCTCCACCCCTTCCCCCCTCGAGTCAAGTCGTGTAGTCGATTTAAGGTCGGTCCTCGCGGATCCGACATCCGACCCGGGCTCGGCTCGGCCCGGCTTATTCCCCCCACCACCATTACTACATCCGTAGACGTCATTAACTTTTCCTGGCGGAGGAACAGCCCGGGCGGCCGGGCCAATCTAGGCCCGCCGTGCCGGCTGTGCCCGCGGCAGACACGGTCCTGGGGGGATGCTGCTCGCGCAGCTCCGTGAGCGGGCCCGGGGCCCGGGGCCCGGCTCGGCCCGGGCGGCACGTCACGCGGCTCACCCGTCCGCCTAAACCCATTGGCCCATTCTTCTTTCACCCGGGGACTCGGCACCCAAAAAAAACTTGATTTTTGGATCCACTGCAAACCTTTCTCCGTTTTGTTGTGTTTAAGTAAAGTACAGTGCTTGATCCGAAGCCTCATTTTTTTAAGTGTGACAGATTACAAATAACTTAATAAAACCAATGCCGAGACCAAAGCCATACTTCACCCCATAACCCCCCACCCAATCCAAATGTTCTATTATGGTGCCTTGAGGAGGGGTGTACTACTTGAAAAGCCCCACCTGCGCTCAAGCGTTCTTTGGAGGACCAGAAAGAGAGACAGGGAGAGAGAGAAAGAGAGACAGGGAGAGAGAGAAAGAGAGACAGGGAGAGAGAGAGAGGGAGTGGGGGGGGGCGGAGGGTGCAGACAGGTGGACCGTAAGGCGCGCTCGTGTGTGTGTGTGTGTGTGTGTGTGTGCGTGTGTGTGAGCGCGCGCGCGCAGGAAAGATTATCCGACTTTCTTCTCACGGCTCAGCCAGGACATTTATAAATCACACACGCTCTTTGCGAGTGTGTGTGTGCGCGTGCGAGTTTAGTCAGGTGTGAGTGAGTGTGTGGGGGGGGGGGGGTCCCCTCTAACCATGAGAGAGTGCCCCAGATGGGAGGGACGAAGAGAGACAGAGACAGAGAGGTAAACGCGACTCAACGCGCCGAAGTTTGTAAGTGCGCCGGCGAGCCGAGGGATGGCGGACGGCCTTCTGAGAGCGCCCCCCCCCCCCGCCCCTCTATACTTCCGCCCCGCCGGTCCAGCGACCCCCGAGGCTCAAAGGCACAACACCGACTAACTGCTTTGTGATGCAGCCTGCCGGCGTAAAACACGTCGAAGAAGAAGAATAAGAATGAAAATGAGAACAAGAGGCAGGCCAAGGGAGGAGGGCAGGGAAGGCCAACGGCCGGAAAAAAAGTTTGGTGTCGCACGCCGCCTGTCTCTCCCCGGCTCAGCTCGGGGCGCAAGTTTGGGGGGCGGCGGGGGCGGCTGTCACGGGCAGGACGGCGGCGGCGGCGCAGCGAGCCGCGGGGCCACCAACTTACCCAGGCCATCTCCGCGTCAAATATCGACATTATTAACGCAGAACGCCTCCTCGTGGCGCGCGCGGAGCGGGGGAGAGGGGCTCGGCCCGGCCGCGAGCGGACCGCGCTGCGGCGGACAGGAGGGCGTGGGGCGTGGCGGGGCGGAGCGGAGCGGCAGGCAAGTTGCAGCGCTCGGCAGGAAAAAGTTTTTAATTTACGAAGTTGACTTTCGCCTTGCACCGCGCGCCGCGCCGCGCCGGGCGAGGCCACATCCAGCGCCTTCGCGCCAGCGCCGTCAGCGCACACCATCATAACGCACTCGTACAGCAGCAGCAGCCACGAGCCAGCCCCGCCGGGGCCGGGCGGCGGGAGCGCGGCGGGAGCGCGCGGCGAAAGAAAAAGTATTAGAGAGATGAGAATATCATGGCTGGCTAAAGTGTTACAACCATCACATCGCGGATTGTTTTTATCAGTCCCATGCAAGAGTCTCTTGATGGGCGTGACAAATCTGTGATGACATCGTTGCAAAATATTTGAAGCAGAGACCGGAATCGGCGCCCGAATGCTGCTCGTTGCTGCTCACTCGGAGCTGCTGCCCGCTCGTTCGCTGCCCGCTCGTTGTCGCCTTTCCCGCTCGCTCCCGCTCGTCGAGTCTCGATCTCCAAACGGGCCCCGTTTGCTGGGCCGGCGCAGGGCCGGCGTGGCGGCGGGTGGCGCGTAGGCGAAGTCAGCCCAGCGCCACGCCAAGCCACGCCCTCAGGTGACCGGCAGCCGAAGCTCGGCCACTCAAACGGGTCCCGTTTGCTCGGGTTCGTTCGGCAAGGTTCGGTACATCGCTATCGCTGCCTCGGGTTTCTCGCTCTGTCTCTCTCGCACACCGACTGCGCACGGCGCGCGCTCAGAGTGGGACCCGTTCGGGCACGGATTCCGGCCTCTG